TGGCGGCAAAGGAAGGGCGGGAAACGGGGAGGGGAGCGGGGAGTCTGGGTGAGAGGATACTGAAGTTCTGGGCAGCCTTCCTCTCTCGGGTCTTGGCGCCTTCATCCAGACAAAGTGGGCAGGGCTGTGGAACTCTGTTCTCTGTGGATGATCATCCGGGTGGTTGCGAGCTGGGACTTGCCAGTCTGCGGGGAGTGGTGACTGGGACAACTCTCAGACGCCTCAGCCCCTTCCCACCCCCTCTCCCAGGCAAAACGAGATCTTATGGAGGGAGGTGGTGACACTGCGGCAGAGCCAGGGCCAGCAGCACCGGGTCGTTGGCAAGGTATCCCTCTCCCCCACCGACTGACTTCCCTCTCCCCCTCCCAAATACGCCCTCTGCCAGACCTCTACCCCACCTGAAAGTGCCCTGTTAGGCTGGGGGCGAGGTCCAAAGGGTGAATGAACCCTTTGTTCCTCTTCAGCTGATCCAGTGTCTCTTTGGGCCACTTCAGGCTGGGTCCAGCAACACGGGAGCTAAGAGAAAGCTGTGAGTGAGAAAGCTAGGGTCACCCACCTGCCCCCTGCCCCCCATCCAGCACCTTCCCTGCCTCCTCCTCCAGAAACCCCTTCCTCCGGAGTCCTCATCCCTCTCCCTCTATACCAGTCTTCCTCCCCCCAAGGCATCTCCCCAAGACCCCCCTTGCAGGACTTTCCCCCTCGCCCCCCAACTTCACCCAACTCTCAGATCCCTCAGTTCTAGGACCTTATCCCCAAATTTCCATTCCAGCAGCCCCTTCCCCTTTCCCCCAAAGCATCCCAACATCAGAGGGTCTGGGGTTCAAACCATGCCCCCTCCTACCCCCTTTCTACCCCCAAAGGGCCCCCATCTCTAGGGGGAGCCCCTTCTGCCTTCAGCATGTGACTGATGCCCTGGCAACAGGCTTCAGCTCTGCTGACTTGGCTGCTGGGGCCTGTGGGAGGGAGGTGGTGCAGACTGTGGGGCATGAGCTGAAATCTGTATCCTGCCACCTGCACAGGTCCCTGATGCTGGATGAGGGGAGCTCATGCCCAACACCGGCCAAATTCAGTGCCTGCCCCCTACCTGGTGCCCTCCTGCAGGACCCCTACTTTATCCAGTCGGTAGGTTTTGCTTCTCTTTCCTTCCCTAGGGCACAGCTGGGCTTATGGAGAACCTATTCTTTTTCCCCCATTTTCTCCCCCCCAAAAAAGAGAAGATGGAGGTCAGCCTCACCCCCACCCCCAGACCAGACTCCCCAGCATGGGCTGCAAACCTACCCCCTTAGACCTGGTCCATGTGGGTGCTAATTGGGTCTGGCTTCCCCTGTGGCTTGAGGTGAAGGGTTAGGCCTAATCTACTTACAGCCCCTCCCAGAGACCACCTTGGGCCTCAGCATTCCTCACAGGGCCAGGGGACCCATCATCTCTGACATCCCGGAAGATTCTCCAGCCCCTGAAGGGACCAGGCTTCTTCCCTCCAGTGGTGGCAGGAGGTAGGAGAAACAGACAGGGCTGTCCTCTGGGCAGCCTGTGGGGGGGAGCCTGGCAGTCCAGATGGCTGTGGGGTAGGGGAGAGGTCAGTGCCAGGTCTGGTTGAAGCTTTTCTCTGGCACAGGGACGACAGCCAGGCATTGCTCAAAGAAGAGCCAGCCAGCCCAGGAGTGGACGGCCAGGCTGGGCAGGCTCTGGCCCCAAACGAGTGTGGATTCTGTGTGACAGCCCCACCACCACTGCCTGTGGCTGTGGTGCAGGCCATCCTGGAAGGAAAAGGGAGCTTCCGCCCTGAGGGGCCCAGGAGTGCCCAACAGCCTGAACCAAGGGGGCCCAGGGAGGTACCTGACAGGTGAGCAGAGAACCTATTCTTGACTGTGAGCCCCGTTGGCCACTTTGGCAGGTAGACCAGCACTCACTAGGCCCCTGTGACTTCCCAGCCTTGTCTGCCCCCTGGTGGCTGAGGAGGATGTTGGGTACTGTGAGATGACCTGATTTCTCAGAGCTGCTCTAAAGAGTACCAGCATTAGGCCCTAGCGGGTTTGCCTCAGCGGATGGAGCGGCCTATGGACTGAAAGGTCTGGGATTTGATTCCCGTCAAGGGCATGTACCTCGGTTGCAGGCTCCTCCCGGGCCCAGACCCTGATCAGGGCGATATTTCTCTCTATCTTTCCCTTTCTCTTCCACTGTCTCTAAAAATCAATGAAAAAATATCCTTGGGTGAGGATTAAAATAATAATGATAAGAGTACCAGCATCAGAGGTCCTGGAAAGTGGAAACATCTCTGTGGTAGGGCTCGGGAATCTGCATTTTAACCGAGTCCATTGAGGTGGTTGTAAAGATTGTAAAACACACAACAGTTTAAGAACCACTGGCATTGGCAATTGCATAGGGAGGGGACACATCCCAAGACCCCAGCTCTACAACCCAGTCCTCAGGCCAAAGGTAGGAGGCAGAGACACTCGTATGTGTCCCTCTGTGAGGGGTCCTCTCCTACCACTTTCTAGATATTGTCAGATTTAGACCCCGATGTATCCAGGTTCCTTTGGAACCTAATGGAGGGGGAGTGGTACTGCAGGCCAACAGCAGTTCTCCGTGCACAGGGGGCCTCTGGGCCTGGAAAGCGGGGGCCGGAGCCCAGAGAGTCTGCTGCCTTCAATGCTGCTTCAGGCCCTCCCTGAAAGTGTGGAGCCTGCAGGGCCCCTGGATGTGAGTACGCCTTCAGCAGGACATGGGGCTGTGCAACCTGGGAGGGGCACCATTGACCCAGAGCTCCCCCAGGTGCTGGGCCCCAGCCTCCAAGGGCGGGAATGGACACTGATGGACTTGGACATGGATCTGTCCCTGGTAAGATGGGGTGGGGGGGGGGCAGGGGTTTGGGAGTTGCTGGGCTAAGCCCTTCAGTCCATGGCTGTTCTCTCAGCCAGAGCCCTAGCTCCTTTCCGCAGCTGCTTCTGTGGGGTTCTTCCTTGCAGATGCAGCCCCTGGTTCCAGAGAAGAGTGAGGCTGAACTGGCCGTCAGGGGGTTAAATTCTCCAGGCCCAGGTAATGGTCGTGGTGACCCAGGACCCGGGGGAGGCCCTGGCTGACCAGCACTACCATGATTGGGTGGGCTGGGCAGTTTGTGTTTGAGGGACATCCTTTGAGAGTCTAGGCTGCCCCCTAGAGCTGCTTACCTCACCCATCCCCTTACCACTGGATGAGAGCGGGGAGGTTGAGAATGGAAGTTCTAGGGGACTAGAGGGCAAGATGGGCAAGGCTCCCCTTCCCTGCTGAGCACTGTCCCCTCCTCCTAGGGAAGGACTCCACTCTTGGGACACCACTCCTGCTGGACGTCCCGGCGGCTGTGGGAGGCCCAGCTCTCAGCCTGCCTGGAGCTGTGACCATTCAGAGCCCGCCCACTGCGAGCCGGGCCTCCTACCTGGGTCCCGGGGCTGATCCCTCCCCCTGAGACTCTAGTCTGAAGCCAGCCTGGCTGAGGGCTGCCTGCAGCCTCACGCCTTTCTCGCCTTCCTGTCCCCCTGGCGGAGGCTGAGCGAAGACCCTGCTGCTCGGAGGCCCCCTTCCACTGCAGTTCCCAGTTATGCACATAAACCGCATTGTTTTCTGTGTTTCTGGTCTCTTTTCTCTACCGACCAGGGAGCACAGAGGCCTTGGGGGAGGAGGGGCGATTTTGCGTTCGTAGAAGCGTCCAGTTCGTAGAAGCGTCCAGGTCCCAGAGCTTTAATGCAGAAACTCACTCCCGGAGCGGGGAAGGCTCCGGCATCCTGCTCCTAGCTTGGGCCCGGATCCTAGCTTGCTCCTAGCTTGCTCCTAGCTTGCTCCTGCTTGGGCCCGGATCCTCCGGCCCAGACTCACAGCAACCTCCGGGAGTGGGGGCTTTGGGGGCCACACCCAGCTCCGCAATGAATCCGCTCCGGGGGTCCTGGGTCAGCGGGTCCCCCTCTCTGAGCCTCATCTGTGGTAGGTAGAGAGGGTCCACGAGAAGATGGGGAGCGGAGCCCCTGGAAATTGCCAGGCTCACAGTGGGCGCCGGGCCCCGCGAACCACACCTGCGCCCTAGCTGACGCCCTGCGCGCCCGGAGGAGGGGGAGGGAAGCCGGACTACGCGTAGGAACCCGAGCGAAGCGCTGCTCTGTGCGCCCGAAGGCCCCTTTCTCCCCATTTCTCTTGGTTCCCGGCAGCCCTGCCGCCCCGCCCGCGCCCCCGCGGCAGCTGCTGCTTCCACCCCACCCCACCCCCGCCCCGCCCAGCCCTTTCTGCCTTGTCATCTACCCCGCCAAGGCTCCACCCGTGAGTGGGGCCGCACGGAGCCACTGGGGGAGGGAGAAACACTGAGATCGCGTAGAATCCGAGCCCCCACGGGCAGTGCTCCCAGGTCTGAGCCCCGCCCCTCGGCGAGACCCTAACCCTGGGACCCGGTGGAGGGGAGATAAGGGAAGTCTGTGGTCGCACCTGCCAAAGGCTCCCGCAGTTTCCCACAACTCCCGCTCCCGAGCAAAAGAGCCCGCGGAGCCCGGTGGGGAGGGGGGCCGAGACCCCCCCCCCCCCACCTCCAGGCCTGGAACTTGGAGCCGCCTGGTGCCCGGGAAGGACCGGGCCGTGACCCTTGAAGGACTGGCCGCAGCATAACTTAGGTACAGTATTTACTTCTGAGCTTTGAGTCTCAGAGGGAGGGCCTACAAGGACAGGACTTGGCAATGGGAGGAGGAGGCTAACATAAAAATAACTTGGTTAGGAGTGAGGGAGGATGAGGGGCTAGTCCGATCTGCTCCTCCCTCTCTGCGCCTGTACAAGCGTAGGTTCTGTCCCCTCTCCCTTCTTGCTCCTGGAGGACAGTCTTTGGAAACCTCAGCTAAAGAGGGTAGGGGTCCGTGTGCAGAGATGTCAGCTAGCGTCGTGCCGAGGGCATACACTGTTCACTGGGGTACACAGGAGAAGAGATGAAACCAGTCCGCCTATCACACACTCAGGCATTGGAGTGGACGAGGTGACATTTATTGAGACTTGGAGGATGGGTCCACAGCTTGGAGGGAGGGGAAGGGCATTTCAGGCTTAAGGAATAGCATCTACTAAGGTTCAGAGATGTCAGGGGCTTAATTCTCCTAGCACTGAGGGTTGGGAAAAGTGGGGGGAAGCCTCGCTGTCCAGGAGGTGGGAGTGGCCAGGCCAGATAGTCTGAATTCTCTCTGATGGGCAGTGGGGAGCAGGGGCCAGGTAGTTAGGGCTGACATTCTGCTGGGCAGGAGGCCTCATTGTAATTCAGGTTGGAGCAAGTCAGATTGTAGTTCTGTCCCTTGGTCTCTCTGATCCTGTCTTCTCACCTGTGAAATGGGGACAATGAATCCTGCCCCAGAGAGCTGTTGACCATCTCTGTGCTGTGGGGGTGATGAGATGGGAGTGAGAGGCACTCAGAGAGACTGTCAAAGGAGATGAGGTGAGGATGGTGGGGTTGAGGGGGGTGCTGATAGAGACTCGCTGAGAGGTGGGATAGCAGCATATGTCACAGGTGGGGCATGAATGGAGAAGGAGGGGTAAGGGGTAGTGGTCCTAGTCTCTGATCAGTTACCTGGGGGAAGGGTTGACGCTTCAATATGACCAGGGAAGCATAGCATGACACCAGGTGGTCATGAGAGAGAGACCTGGGAGGCCAGAGGGTGCTGGGACCAAATCTGCTCTTCCAGACCTAGAACCTGATAAGGAGGTAGAGGAGGGGACCCAAAGGGAGGATGAGACCAGGAGGGTGCTGTGTGGACAAAACTAAGGCTGGAGGAAATAGGCTGAGGGAGTGGTCCAGGGCCTGACCTCTGTGCCTCTTAAGGCCAGGGGCCTGGCTGCTGGGTCAGGCCATCCAAGAGGGATGGGCCATTGTCCTCAGACATCAATAAGTAGACACAGCAGACTCATTTCTGCCTGACACCTGCTGTTTGGTAGAAACAATCTCTCATGTGATGCATGGAGGAAAACAGTAAAAGTTCGGCAAGCATTTAAAAATAAATGGTTGGTAGCTTTTTTGAGTTTGGCCCTGGGTACTTCAAGATGAAGCAAGAGATGGCTGTGAGTCATTCCCAGAGCAGCAGGGAGACAGCTGGGTCGCAGGTGATGCTGGGAGATCTTGGTCAGAACTAGGATTGAAGAGAATTCAGGTATCTCGGTTCAGGGATTAGGGAACCAGGAAGGGCCATGAGACCACATTGGGGTTGCAACATGGTAGTGGCCTTGGTGAGGGGGTGCAGGGGCAGGCCCTGCCCTGAAAGATGGATCTCGGGGTCAGGATAAGGGGTGTGGTCATTCTCCATTCTCCGGTGGGTGCAAGGAGCAGGGGAGGATCTCAGCACTGTGCTCTAGGTGAGGAGGGGAGTCAGCGCTCTGAGGTCTAGGCTGGAGGTGGAAGTAGCAGATAGACTAGAAAGGACTTGCAAGCTGGGTGTGGGATCTTTGCCTGTTAAGGCGGGAAAGCGGGTTTGGGAAAGAGAAGTTCGTTTGGATAAACTGGGTCTGAACAAACGGCAGCATCTGCAGGCAGCTGGGGCTCAGGAGGGAGGCCCTGGTTGGGGAGAGCGGTCAGAAAGTAAAGGTCCGGGGAGAGCTGAGGAGGGGAGGGCCACACCCGATGTTGAGGGACCCAAGGAGAAGCCGGAGGAGGAGACAGGACTGAACCGGCCCAAGAGGCTGGAGTACGGAGTCGGTGCTGCATACTGTGCTGCCGCCGGGGGTTAAGGCGAACTTAGACCCCAGCCACCGGTGTTCACGGGAGCCCTGGGAGAGAGGTCAAGGGCGGGGAAGCCCTGGCCCCCAGTCCCTCTCTACCCCTCCCCAGGGACCCCCCCAGAATGGGCAACTCGCAGGAGAGACCGTCAGAGACGATCGACCGCGAACGGAAACGCCTGGTAGAGACGCTGCAGGCGGACTCGGGGCTGCTGCTGGACGCGCTGCTGGCGCGGGGCGTGCTCACCGGGCCGGAGTACGAGGCGTTGGACGCGCTGCCTGACGCCGAACGCAGGGTGCGCCGCCTGCTGCTGATGGTGCAGAGCAAGGGCGAGGCCGCCTGCCAGGAGCTGCTGCGCTGCGCCCAGCGCACCGTGCGCGCGCCCGACCCCGCCTGGGACTGGCAGCACGTGGGCCCCGGTGAGCGCGCGCGGGGCGGAGCCTAAGTCAGAGCCGGGGCGTGCCGAGGGCGGAGTTCTAGTCTCCCCCAGAGGTGGGCGTGTGCGGAGGAAACCGCAGAGGGGTAAACTGAGCCCGAGACTCTCCCACCTCCACCCCAGGCTACCGGGATCGCAGCTACGACCCTCCTTGCCCTGGCCACTGGACACCGGAGGCAGCCGGCTCAGGGACCCCATGCCCTGGTCTGCCCAGACCTTCACACAGTGAGGAGGCCGGGGCTTCTGAGAGCTCCGAGGCAGTGCAATCCGGAACCACCGAGGGGCCCCAGACAGAGTTAGAAGCTGAGGCCTCTGAAGGGCCTGAACCCGAGTTGGAATCGCAAACGGATCCGGAGCCAGAGGCAGAACCAGAACCTGAACTGGAACCAGAACCCGAGCCGGAGCCGGACCAGGAGCCAGAGCCAGAACCTGAGCCAGAGCCGGTCCAGGAGCCAGAGCCCGACCCAGAGCCTGAGCCTGAGCCGGAGCCAGACTACGAGGCAGAGGATGCGTCTGAAGGTGTTAGGCTGCCCAAACCCGGTGCCAGGTTTGCGGGAGGTTGTGGCCCCGGGGGGCAGTGGGCGGGCCCCACCTGACCAACCACTTTCCCCCTTCATTTCTAGATTCCTGAGGGCCGGCGCCCTGACTGGCCACTCCCCATCCAAGCCCAATGGAACCAGGGATCCCGGCCTGGCTGGGTTGGGTTACCACCCAGGCTCCACCTGGCCCAGGATTCGCTGGAGTGAATAAACTGTGGAGGGTGGGTCTGGGCCCTTTGCCCAGGAATAAAGGTATGGACCTGTGCTCTGAGTCAGTGACCTGAGTAGCCCTGTGCCCCAGCACCCAGTCCTCAGCCTCATTTCATCAATGGCTCGGGCTGCACCCTAGAGATCCCAAATCCAGGGGTCCAGTGACACAAGGGCCAGACTTGGGCCCTTTCATCTTCCTGAACCAGTTGGGCAGGTGGTGTCACCAGCCCTATTCCATGGAAGCCCCTGGGCCTGGGACGGAAAGCCAGGGAAGGGGAAATTCTCTCCACGTAGGGAGGGCTCGAGCTGAGGGCCCTGGGATTAAGAGGAAGAGGAAGGGATCTTGGGTAGACAAAGACCACACAGCTTATTGTAATTGTTGTTTTAATTGTCTGGCTCCTCTCAGCACTGGGAGCTCAGTGAGGGCTTGACCAGTGACTGGCACACAGACGGCGTTCAGTGCATTTCACTGACTAAATGAATAAGGGCTTTCCAGCTGCATTTCCAAATTTTACAGATGAGAAAACTAAGGCCAAGGGTGGGAGTGGGCCTGGGTCAGCCTCAGACAGCGAGTCTGAGGGGAAACTGGAAGCAACCACCATCTCTACACCTCTCCTGGTCCAGGGGGGGCTCAGGATTTGGGACAGGTAGGTGTCTGCCCCTCAGGCTTGATTATGGCTGCTGCCAGGCTATGCCAACCTCTGTCAGAGACCAGCTGTGAGGGTGTGGACAAAGACGAGGACAACAGAGGCCTGAGGAGGGGGTGGGGGTAGGGGCAGGGCCTGGTGAACTCTCGGGCTCAGCTCACAGGGCCTGAAGGACTGTGTGTGTGTGTGTGTGTGTGTGTGCGTGTGCGCGTGTGCGCCCGTGTGCTGGGATGGGGGCTAGGCACAGTGGGTGCCTTCCAGAGGAGCCTGTCCCTGAACCTTCAGAAGCTGCTGCCTCCAGCCCCAGGAAGGAGAGCACATCAATAGGGAATAAATACATGCAGTGGGAGAGGCAAAATGCTGGAAAGCACATCCCAGCCCAGCTGGGTCTCTACCTACTAGGACCCTTGTCCCTTGAGTCTGTGTGAAAGCCAAGACCCCAGGCTCAGGTAATCACCCCAGAAGAAGGGAGACCCCCACCAGGACCCAGTGAGAGGTAGACAGCGTGAAAGCTGAAGGAGCACCAAGGGGCCGGGTGGGGGAGGGGAGACTGGAGTACGCAGATACCCAAAGTCATCTCATGCAAGAACAAGTTTCTACTCCCAAACCATCCCCCATCCCCATCCATGCTCAACTTCCCTGCTGCCCCCAGGCTTCCCCTCTGCTCAACAGACAGAGGCAGGAGGGCACACTGTTTGCTCAACATGCTGCTGCTGGCCTCCAGGTCCGGGGAGGCTAGCAGGGAACACACACCCACGGATGTTGCCACTCCTCCCTCCTGAGATGCTCCTGTCCCCTCAGCTTCCCCAAGAAACACCCAGGCTGTGGAAGCACAGAGCAGCCCTCTTCCTGTTCAGGGGGATGGTCTAGAGCCCCCAACCAGTATCAGTTAGGCAGCAGGCGGCCCAACTCTGCTTCGTCCAGCCGGTTGGTGGCCATGATGTGCTCCAGCTGCTGCCGGTAGCGCTCCAGGTCCTGCATGAAGTGGGGCACCCGAGTATTGTTCAGCACCCCATAGGGCCGCAGGTAATCTACATCCTCATAGGACACCTGCAGGGAGGAAGCTGGGCTGAGGGGTAGGCAGAGGCCCTGGCTTTCAGGTGGCTGGTCCCAGCTCTCTACCAATGGTTTATTGCCCCGTGCTCCTGGAACTCCTCCCTGTCTCCTGCTGACCCATTCCCAATGTTATGTATCCCCAGGCACAGTCCTGGGTGTTTGCTCTTTCTCTTAACACCTTCTTTTATCATCTGTGCCCTACAACCCCACTCCTGTCTCTAGCCTAGCTCCCCCAATTGCCTTTGAACACTTTCTCCCAGACAGCCCACAGGTACCTCAGACTCCCTATAGCCAACACTGAATTCTTAGGTGTCAGATTATGCCAGGCACTCTCCTGACAGCCCTCTAGGTCAGATTCCAGGGAGGGGGCTGGGACCTGTCACCCTCCCACTCAGGGTGGCCACTGAGCTCAAGGGATCCCACTCTCTGAAGAGCTCCCCAGCCTGCCCTCCCTCTCCAACTGCATGGCCACTGCTGGGTTAGGCCAGACACCATCAGTTCTGCAGGAGTGATTAGAAAGGCCTCCCTCCCCCCATTCCCTTTCCTAGGTCTCTCTCTCTCTCTCAATCCACCTCCCATCTGACATCCAGCCACAACTTGCTTAAAGCTCCTCTGAGTCCCTATTGCTTCAGATGCAGTTTACCTGCAGTTTACCTTTCTCAGCTTGGCACAGATACCCAGTGCTAGGGACTTGGTCCCTGGCCATTTCTCCAGCCTCCATCTCCAGCCTTCCTGACTGCTCCTTTGGTCTGGAGTGATGCAGGATCTACACACACACCACACACACACACACACACACACACACACACACACACACCTGCAGGCTGGGCCAAGCACCTGCCAGGCTGTCATTTCACCTCCTGTGCTCACCTCCACCTACCAGAGAGGCCTGGCACCAGCCTTCAGTCAAGCACCCATCAGAGGCTCAGGGAATACTGCCATGAGGAGAGCTGGCTGGAACCTCGGAAGGCCCGTGGCCACTCACCTTGCCCAGCGAGGCCAGCAGCGGGAAATCGATGGTCTGGCGGTGTCGCAGAATGCGCACGATGCCATCCAAGTACACCTGGTCTTTGCTGAAGCATCCTGTGGGCATGGGAGGGCCATGAGCCTCTACACCTGAAGCCACCCCCGCCCCTGCCCCAGCTCAGGGTACTCCTCAAATGGGTACCTACCCGGCAGCGAGGTGTCGGTCTGGCCGCGTTTGGCGCGCACGCAGTACTCCCAGCGCACGTCTGTGTCCTGCACGTAGCGCGCCAGGTCCTGGAAGAGCTGGCGGAAAGACAAGTGTGCCGCTCGGTAGATGGTGTAGTAGAGCAGCGCCGCCCGCCACAGGAAGGGCTGCTTGCGGAACAGCACGCTGTGCAGGCTGGCCAGGCCCTCCTCGGTGGGGTTCGCTGGCCGCAACCTGTATTGCAGCCGGCCCTCGGCGCTGTGCCAGGGCTGCCGGGCATTGTTCACGCCTCGCAGGTAGTGGGTGCCTGGGGGAGGGCGAGGGAGGCGGTGCTGGGCGGGTCATCCCGGAATCCTCCTGCCAGGCCTCTAACTTGTACTCATGCGGGTATCCACTCAGGCTCTCCCATAGCCTCTCCCTGCATGCCCCTAATCTCAGGCTTTCCCATAGCCTCTCCCTGCCACCCCTGCCCCAACTTACAGACTCATCCAACCTCAGGGGCACCCGCACCCAAGGACCCATAGAATCTCACATGCAAGAGTCCTCCTCCACCCATCCAGGACTGCACACACACACCTCTCCCAGACTCACACTGCTTCCCAGCCCCCTGGAGAGGACAGGAACTCACACAACACCCCAAGATGTGGATCTTGCATGCCCTATTGTTTGGACAGTCCCGCTGATGTCCCTAGCAAAAACCAACGTCTACCCAGGGCAACAGAATTCTAGATGAGGAGGGACAGGCAGAAAAGAATGGCAGTTTGTGTCCCCTGCTTTCCTTCCAGCCTGGCCTACCCCCTCCTATACCTGGCTCTGTGGGTCCTCGGCCAATTCCATTCCCACCCTGGAGGGCCTGCATGGTGGCTGGGCTAGCGAGACCCTCAGTGTTTTCCCTCTGGCCTGTCCAGGCCCCAACAGCCTGTCCCCACTGTCCAGGGAAACCAGAGAGGAAGTGGAGGGAGGAAAAGATACCCAAGAGGAGTGAGAGATGAGGGTGAGCCCAGAGAGGGGCAGGCATGTTCGGGCCTACCTCTGTGAGCCAGAGGGAGGAGGTGACTACTCATGAAAGGAAAGGGCCCTAGCCTCAAAGGTAAGTGGGAAAAAGAGAGGGGTGGGGTGTCTGGGGGCCCCTCATTG